TAAGTGTGATTGTGTTTGTGCTGTACCAGTGCACCAGTGTAAGTCAGCATGAGTTGAACCAGATTCAATTCGCACTCATCTATGTGCAGTAGAGACTTGCATCCTGCTGGCTGCAAGGTCACTTGTGCTGTAAAACCCAATTCATTGTCTCATTCTCGAGTTGCACCGCAGAATGAATGTGTTTTATATATTTCTTTTGTTTATTTAAATTGGTGAGTCTTGTATCTCGCTTGACTAACTATAAGGCTCTGCTTGGCACCTAAGTGCCTGTATGAGTACTAATGTCCTACTCCCCACCTCGCTACCTTCGCTCTTCTGATTCTGGTCTGCTGTTTGTCTCCCAGGCCCGTCTACACTCTGTGGGTGACAGGGCCTTCTCCTCCTGCGCCCCAAAGCTCTGGAACGCTATCCCTAAGCATACCAGAGAGTCACCTTCCCTAAGCTCTTTCAAATCTAGACTTACCCATTTGCTCCTATAGTATTCCTTATCCCCATTTACTATCTTCTCTCATTGTGTTTTTTTTTCTTTTTTGTCATTCTGTAAAGCGCTTTGAAAATCCACCTTTGAAGGCGCTATATAAACTTATAGTTTATTTCTTTTTAAAGTAAAACAGCTAAGTCCAAGTGTAGGTAACATTAGTTTTTTGGTATTTCTAAAACCCATCTGAGCAAGTTAACAAGAAAAAACAGTGTCACTTTATTTTGTCATGAAGGGGAGAGAATGTAAGGCAGAGACATCCTTTTACCTGGACCACTTGTAAAAGTGAACTTTTTCCGCTGGCTGCCAGGGTCTTTAAAGTCAGGGCGAGTATTCACTTCCCAGGGTATGTGAACTGCGGTTTATTTTCAGGGAGAAACGGCAAGCTGTCGTCAGCCGAGAGGCAGCGGCGCTACCGGGAGAAGATCAGAGCTGATCCTGAGAGGGGCCGAGCTCATCGGGAAAAGGATCGCCAGAGGTATCTGTCTGCTCACAGCAGCTTTCAGCAGCGGACAGCTCTCCTGTCGGCAGGAAGCCATGCTGTCACAACACATTGCACGCGCTGTACTACGGCTCATTCCAGCCAAAGCAAGAAACATAATCACTTCTGTAGTTACCGATCAGGGACCAGCATTTTCCCTTGTCAGTGTATAACTGTACATAATGAGCAAGCACAAATGTTCATCAATGTATTGATGAAAATAAAAAAAAACCACAGGAATACAGAGATTCACCCTGGATGGGACACCAGTCCATCACATGGTTATAACCACGCACACTCACACCAGGGTCACCTAGAGGAAACCCATGTGAACATGAAGAGAACATACAAACTCCACACAGACTGCACCCCTGGGAATTGAACCAGGGCCCCAGTGCTTCGAGGCAGCAGTGCTAATCACAGTGTCCCCCCCCATCTTCTTTCAATACTCCTTCTTTCTCTCCTACACAACTCAGAAATTTACATCACCTGAACATAAACAAGTGGTGATTCCAAATTGCGAAGCTCTTGGAACTGAAGATATAAAGCATTGCTGAAGACATATTGTAGCGCTCTCGCCGCTGCCGCCTCAGGTCAGCCCCCCCACCGCTGGGGACTCGAACCCGGGCCTCCGGGGTCACTCAACAGGGACCCAGCCACTTGAGCTAAAGGGAGATCTCCCATCAGCTCGGCGGCTGCGGTCCCTGCTATCCACAGGGAAGGGCGGTGACGTCATCACGCTGGTGAGCCGGCTCTCACAACCTGCGATGGTGGCCGTATGCGTTACAGTATTAAGACTGAATAACTTGTCTGACTTTCCAGCATTATTATCTAAAAGCTTTGTCAGGTGAGTGAATGAAAATCTTGGACATCAGCTTACTGTAAGTGGCTCGGTTTGAGATTATGAAACCAGCACGCAATCGATTAAATAGTTTTAGGTCAAAAAGAGGCACTTGAATGTTGTGCACGGGAGCAGTTCTGGATAAAATCCAGGGAGAGATCAGAAGAAAGCCCCTGTCTTGCCCATTTCATCGTGCAGGGCAGGGCAGCCCGTGCTGACTCCGGACTCCTGTTTTCAGGTACCACGAGAGGAAGAAGCTGATCAGCGATCTCTCGGAGCACTGCCAGAGACTGAAGCGGGAGGCGTGGCGAGAGGCGGCCAGGCGGTACCGGCAGCGGAAGAAATCCTGCTCCGTCCCGGGGCCCTCCTGCCTGCAGCATCGGTCGAGCCACACTGTGGAGCCCGCTGCCGGGCAGAGAAGAGGTGCCTTCTGTCCAGAGATCAGCCAGATAACCTGAGACACTCATCAGCGCCAAAGCTGGGCAGAGGCCGCGTCTCAGAAGCTGTAAAATCTCTGCAGATGCCCGTCATTCCACAGGTTTTGATTAGTCTCGGGTGTCAGGATGTCCTTTTCAGGCCACACTCTTGTTTAAGAAAGACACGCCGCCGATGTCGTTTTACGGTACAGTGTAGCAACTGCCAGTCAAGGCATGTAACCTCGGGCTTCTCAAAACAGAAAAGAAAGTCTTTTAAGACTCTACGTAGATGGCAGATCTTTTTTTTTTTGGCAAGAGGAGTAGTCACAAAATATAACAGAGTAAAAGTATTTAGGTGATTTAGATGCACTGTGGTCACTCAAGGGATGCTTCCTGGTGTCTTCGTGTTGGGTGGCAGGACAGTGCTGGAACTATGGGACACAGGCTGAAGGAAAGAGAAAACAAGGATGAAGCAGGGCGAATCGATTTCTGAAACCACTAACCGCTGTGCCTGGTGGCAGGATCCACCCTGTGCCACACAGCCCCTCCTGAGTCTAGTTGTAGTGATGGCGTCAGGTGTAGGTGGATTGATCTCCGCGATTCCATTTAGTACAATTGCCTTGGTTTTACGTTTTGGATCAGAACAGCGAGACAGCTGTACCCTGTTTCTACTGGCTTTATTTATTGGTAGCTTAACACGGCATAAGTATTTGAAAATGCTTATGTTCCTTGCATAGTTGTTGGTAAATCATCATCGCCTGGGTTTTTGAAGGAGTTTGGGAGATTTCGCAACAAAGTTCTATAGAGGTGTGAGCCTCTGGGCCTGTTTGTCAGGTTTAAATAAAATTTTTAAAAAAACACGGATGAGGTACATGTTTGGATCACTTTCACTTCCCGGCATAAAGTAGGGCCTCCTGTTAAAGCAGTCTGAAGATCCACATCTCCCCTTTCCTGGACTACACAGCACTTGTGGTGTACAATGGAAGCAACAAAAATATAGTGAAGTTGAACATTGTTGCTGGTTTAAATCTGGCAGAGGAACTGCTGCAATAATGGTGTTGGCATAGTAGAGACATTTTTTACTTTTAACTTCAATAGTGTCCTCTTACTTGCGTAACTCCTCTGTCGGTGAGCAACACTGTTAATCGATTTGCTTATTCACAGTCCTGTACAATAAATTAAAACTGTTCCAGATCCCCCAGAATTCTGTGTGAAGGACAGCCCAGTTCTGAGTTGTCTGCCACACACAGACCCATGTGTGTGGCTTGGGAAGCCTACATGTGTGATTGCAGCTCTTACATAAAGATACTGTATATTATTACAACACTTTGGGAATGATGTGTTAAACTGTTACCGATCTGAATGTAGGTGTTTCTTCTTTGTTTTTCATTTAGTATTTTTCTATTTACTACAATGGAATTATTTTAAATAAAGTTTTAACAGAGGTTACGCCTACCATTAATTGATGTTTAGCTAAATGTTGCATTTCTACACAATTTCTTATAAGTAAAGGCAAAGTGGTTGTTTATAAGACTTGATTTGTCAGAAGAATCGAATTTACGAACATTTCTTCTTAAATGCTGGGGATTTGAGTTTGCCCCATGGAGCAAACAAAATACAGAATATCTCATTTTGAAAGGTGGCAAAGCCAGAAATGTTTCATTTATAGGTGTAGTATTCATTACATTGGGGCATCTCTTGGCCTATTCAGGTCACTGTATATGGCTGTGCTGTCATTAGGGTTCCTCAAGTTCAGTCCTTGAGGGCCGTACTGTAAAACTTCTTACAGGTACCTGCTTATATGTTTATATTGCGAGGGAAAGCAGTCCTGTGCATGCTGCTAGAGCATGGCTATTCATCACTTTTGGCTTGTTTTTGTGTGAGGGTGACAAGGATTATATTTCATGAGCAGGGCGTTTGAACATGACATGGGGGAAAGACTGTCCAAGGTTTCCAAAACCATCTTTAAGGGGTGTGCTTCACTTTGGGGAGGAGCTGCTGCAGTCAAGAGAGTCCAGTCCATCCAGTCTGTTCAGCCATGTGACCTGAGGACCTGAGGATCTCCTCCAGCTTCTTGAGGATCGTGAGATGTTGTTCTCAGCACCATCACTGGGGGCTTCCTGACAGTTTGTTGTCTCCAGTTTTCTCTAGTTCATTCCTTGAATTATGTAATGGGAAGGAGGAACATATTTTTTTCTGTTCTGTAAGGAAGTGGGAAGAATATAGTAAACATTTAGCATTATTCTCCATGTAATAATTCTGTTGTTTTTCCAGCAGGGAGCTCTTTCAAGCTAGAAAGATTCTGATTATATCCAGAAACGTGCTATGATTTTCACCTCAGCGTGGTGAGTCCTCACAGAGCTCCAGTTGAAGGAAAGCCAGAGGAAGACGGACGAATTCTGATATTTTATCAAGACTGGTGCTCTGGAATCTGTCGAGAGCAGAGCCACCAGATTTGTTCCGTAGCTGAACTGCATGTCCGACACTGGCAGGCAGTCTTCAAGGGGACCTGGTGAGAAGATCCACAGGTCTCAGAGTTAATAAAGTGAACGCAGAAGACTTCTTCAGAATAAAAAGTAGGACTCAAACCTGAGGACACGAGAGGAAACTACTTCGAAGTACGTTTAGAATGAAATGGAAGGAACTGCTTCTTCATGCAAAGGGTTGTGGGGATCTGCAACAAAATCCCCAGCCATGTTGTTGACGTTGGCTTCCTTCAACAGACAGCTGGAGGAGATGGATGAATGAGCCTGTAACGCCATTGAATTAGATTCTGAATCACCCTGCGATCTGTGTGGATCCTAATGCCCCAGTATAGTGAAAAAAAGGCACCGTCCTTCGGATGAGATGTTAAACTGAGGTCCTTACTCTCTCTGGTAATTAAAAATCCCAGAGCGTTTCTCGAAAAGAGTATGGGTGTAACCCCGGTGTCCTGGCCAAATTTTCCCCTGGCATCATGGCCTCCTAATAATCCCCATCTCTGAACTGGCTTCATCACTCTGCTCTCCTCCCCACTGAGAGCTGGTGTGTGGGGAGCGGACTGGCGCATCATCCAGGTGGGGCTGCACACTGGTGGGGGTGGAGGGGATCCCCATGACCTGTAAAGCACTTTAAGTGGAGTGTCCAGAGAAGCGCTATATAGGTGTAAAGAATTATTATTATTAAGGAAGTAAACAAGATATCTATCTTCAGTCTGCTTTTACTCCTAAGGGTTGTGGCATGAACAAGACATGATTTTATTAGTTAATTTAGGAAACTTATTTAAAGCACTATAATGTTGTTTTTTTGCTTTTTTGGGGAAGATGTGAATGTAATGTTTGGAAATTGTATCACTATAAAACTACAGTATTTTAAAGTATTTTACCGTACTTTTGCATGAGTACACACAGCTCCGTCACTCTGTAACACATCGAAACTCAGAATCTCACCCCAGCAGCAGGAAGTGAAGGAACGTTGCTCAACCACAGAGGAAGTAGATGAAAGGTGTGGCCTAAATTCTAAATAAAATAAGTCAAAAGAGTCTGGAACTGCAGCAAAAATATAACCTAAATAAAAAATTCAAACGTCACAACAGAGGTAAGGGACAATCCTTTTCCATATCAAACCTCCTGAACCCTGGTATACTTCATGTACTTCCTTCCTAGTATTTTGGGAGGAAATGAGACTTTTGTCTGTACCCGTGGTTTGGTTTATCGAACAACTGGACGAGCACAAATTCCATGCCTGTATCATCCCGTCTTTAGTAGAAATGTATATTGGTCCGAACTACTACATGTTCCCAATGCCACCAAATCACAGGACATTAATTTTAATGTTCAGTGTTTAATAAATACATATTTGCATCAATCGAGGTCTTTTTGTTTTATTACTGAGAGGCATCAGATTATTATGTTGGTATATGAAGTAACCTGAATTTAAAAGTGGTGTACTGTATCCTGTATATGGGCATATTACTCTTTGTGGAAGAGCTTTTGCGTATGTATTCATACTAAAATGACTGATAACTGAAAGGATATGTCTATCATTGTCGATTGGTTCTGAAGACCTCTGACAGGACACTCAGAGCTGGGAGCTTGGTGTTGGAGGGGGTTAGTTCATATTGGGGTGAAAATACTGCATCAATCTTTATTTTTGGATTTTCTTCAAATAATACAAAAACAAAGCTTTGTCAGAGAGCTCTGCATTTCATTGCACAAACCTAAATTGACTCCACGCTGTCCCCGGTTCTTCTTCTAGCAGAGCCTGAGAACTTTACCCGGGGTCAAAATGAGCACACAGCTGGGGCAGATGCTGGCAGACCGGAAAGACATGGTGGAGGAGTGTATGGAGCTCCTGGGGAAAGGGACCGAGCTGCTAGCCAGCACTGTGGGTGAGCTCTTCCCTGTCTTTGAGGTTGCAGCTCCAATCCTGAAGCTTGCTTTGGATAACATCGAGTCCACTGAGGCAAAATACATGAAGGAGCAGTTCCAGAAGGTGAGGGACAACATGGAGGTCATCTCGGAGGAGATCACCCGCATCAACGAGGAGATCAAGAAGAGCCAGGTGGACGCGGAGTACTTCTCTGTGGAGGAGAACCTGACCAACCAGTTCCGCAAGTACATAGACATCCTGAACGCCAAGCCCAAGTTCAAGGAGGTCAAGAAGAAGCTCTTCCTGGAGCACTTCAGCAAGACGGGGGGCGACAAGGACCTCCACACTCTGTACAACGCCGTGACGGGGGACAACTTCTCCGGGGAGTCAATCCTGGAGATCACGCTCAACTACGAGGAGAAGAGCCGGCGTCCCATGGAGGAGTTCTGCGCCCGGCTGATGAGGCTGTTCTGGGTGGGCCTGATCGTCCTGATGGGGCACGCCGCTCTGAGCCGGCAGGACGAGGAAGCGCCGCTCAAGGCCTGGAGGGAGAAGATGCAGGACGTGGAGAAACGTGTGAAGGAGGCGATCGCAGACTGCACGGAGAATTTCGCCAGCCAGGCCGAAACGGATGTGGCCAAATGGCTCCTGGAGTGGACCGCCGGAGCCCAGCAGGAGCTGTCCGACCACATCCTCAGATTCCTGGAAGAAAAGTACGACTGGATTTCCTGGTCGGTAAGGGTGTATAACGACTCGGGCTCTTGCATTTCAAATTTTTGGGCTGGAAAGAAGTACCAAGGGATCAGTGGCGGAAAACACTTCACCATCCATAAAGACAACACTAATGTCGTGGTGTCTTACAGCACAAAGCCTGAGCCCATCGATAAGACAAAAATTCAGGAGCTGGTAGAAAGCCGAGGACAGACAAAGAACATGCAGAAGCTGGCGACGTTCCTCCACAGCCGTTGCCCACAATGCTTAGCGCACGCGGTCAGCAAGTACAAAGCCGTTGCAGAGTCCAACAACTTTCCAAAGGAATGTTGCTATTCTGGAAAGTATAAAAAAGCCTGCGTATTTGTGTATTCAGATTAGTTTTACGACTTACATCACTTAAGACTTCTTGCTTGAGCATAGCTGCTCTTCTAATCCTTTTTGGACAAAATTGGATTAAATGGAAATCATATCAGATATCTGCCCTGCTAGCATGCATAAGCAACTCACGACGACCAGATTCTAAAAGATTCTAAGATCTGCCTTCCCTAGTACATGTTTGTGATAAGTCAGCCCTGTCCACACCTACCTGTATGGAAGAGTAGCTGAATGACCTCTGCTCATTTGCAAACTTCAATGCTTCAGACTGTAAGACAGGTTACACATAAGAAGATCCGTTCGGGCAGTCTAGCCTGTTTGATTGCTAGTAGCTTAGTGACCCAAGGATCTCATCCCGCTGTTTCTTGAAGGTAGCCAGAGGCTTCAGTAACATGGCTACACCACACCTTGTGTAAGAAAGAGCCTCCTGTTCTCCAATTTAAACGCACTGCTATGCAGTTTCCACGTGTGTCCTCTGGTTAGAGTTCCACTGTTTGTTTTGAACACGTTCGGTGGGATGACCGGTATCCTGGTCAAATTTCCCCATTGGCCCTTACCAATCATGGCCTCCTAATAATCCCCAT